AAAATTTTAAATATTACATATATCTAACACCTAAATAAAAATGAAACATATGTAATATAATATAAACATATCTAATTTATAATTAAAATGTTAATTATTTTAAGATATTAAATAGCATTAAGTATATTTTATTTTAAATGAATTAAATAAATTTAAGGAAGTTGATTACAAATATATTAAAACTAAATACATTCAATGTTAATTTAGGAATATGGAATATTTTAAGATTAAATATATTTAATTTGAAATATATTAAATATTTAAATAAGTAAAGAGAAAATCAATTTTTAACTTGGAGTTTCTCTAGAAAATTTATAATTAAAAACTATAGAGTTGGAATGAAGTGTGGATCCTGAAATCCTAGTCCTAATAACAATCATAGACAACCAATAACACATTAAATTCAAACTCAAATCCTAGTCCTAAACCAGTAGCACATTAAATTCAAAACCAAGTCCTAGTTCTAAATTGATAACACATTAATTTCAAATCTAAATCCTAGTCCTAAACCAATAGCACATTAAATTCAAATCCACGTTCTAGTCCTAAATCAGTGTTGCAATAAGTTTAAATTCAAATTCTAGTGCGAAATGACACCTTAGATTGAAATCTAAGAAAAAAAAAATCCGAGTTCGAATCAACAATCTCAACCAATAAAGTTCACAAATTCCAAGTCACGAACATTAAATTGATTACTCCAAAGTCAAAATTACAAACAGGAAAATTTGAAAACCAAGACTAGGGCACAATGCTTGACCTAAAAGGGTTTTGAGAATTATTATTTCTCTACTTAACCATGGTTAGTATGCACCAACCCATGCTCATGGCTTTTTATTGGAAAAGTAACCGAGGGACTCGTTTCAACATACTGATGGGATTTAGGGGACCTGAAATCAATTTCAAAGATTTGGAGAGCTAATATCAAAATATTAAAGGTTTGGGGGGCTAATGTGGAAATAACCCATATTTTTACTGTTTGAGAAAAACATAAATAAATGTGTATTTTCTTGAATGTTTCAAATTTTAAGTCAATACGCAAGTGGTTAATATTTATTAATAACGAGAACCAATAAATACGTGTCATAAGAGAAACATCCTGTAATAATGAGCATTGGACTCACGCAGCAATATTTTTCTATAATCAGTTTTGAATGTGTAGGCCAGGTGATGTTTTGAATGTGTAGGTGATATTTTTCTAAGGGTTTTTCTATAGAGTGCCCATGGGCACTCTATAAGAGAGGAGAGAGATAGAGAGAGATGATTGGGGAGGGGATCCCAATACAAATCAGGTGGGTCCCATCCTCAAGCATCGTATGCAACTTCAAGGCGCGCAACTTGATACAGACAAAGCATAAGAAAACTGGGTAAACATTACAATACTCTGATATGCAGTCAAAGCATGGCATGTAACTTCAAGGTTCACTAGATAACACAAATGCTACCGAGAATAGGTATTTATACTCATTTTGATCCCGAGATTCTATGAATACAACATCGCCAAGAACCGACATCAACTTCAACAATCAAGAAGAGAGAAAAGCTAAGAGGCCTTTTTTAAAATGCTTTCTAACTGCAAAGATAACAACAGGTTTGTAAGTGAGGAGCATTAATCATTCCACAAAAAGTCATTTCTTATGCATTTTGCTAGAATCAGGAGAATTCTGATGCAGCAGTGACAAAGGCTGTCTCGGTGAATCAGAACCATCAAAATCAATCAACCTTCCTTCACTCAAGCTCGACTTGCGTTTACCCTGAATATTTTGTGGGAAAAAAAAATGATCATTGTTAGAAGCTATAATATCACATAAAAAGGAGAGACCCAGTGAAAAATATCTTCTTGATCACTCACTTTGGAAGAAGCGCCACCTGAGGGTTTGCAGGATGAAGGTTTGGTTTCAGATCCTTGGCGATTTCTTTCTCGATGTAACTGCCTTACAAGCCTCTTATTCTCTTCTTCCAGCAATTTGTTTTCCTCAAAAAGTACCTTAACCTTTAATAGAAATACTCAAGGGATGAGATTGTGATAAGCGCATCCAGAAAAAAAAAAGGTGTCAACTATATCTCTACCTCCTCTTCAGCTCTGAGAAGGTTGACCCTTAGATGTTCTTTGTCCTTCTGCAAGGATTCAACTTCAGTGGCTAATGCTGTGGTCTGGAGAGTTTGCAGGCGTGCGGTCAGTTTAACCACATTTTATGTCGAAGGAAAATTTGTTATATTCCAAAATGCTCAAACATCTTATTAGCTGTATGGGCTTTAATTTAAAAAATTATCACCTAGGCTGCTAGTATCAAAACGAAGCAACTACTTTCTTGTTATTTATTAACATTACCTTCAGAACTTATGACAGAAAAGAACTAAATTTTAATGGGTAAAAGAACAGACGGGTAAACAATAAGAAAAGACAAGAATATACAATTAGGTTGATGTGGGAGTCTAGATAGCAAATCAGTTTTTGCAGATAAAGCAGAATATTAAAAGACTGTATTCAATAAGAATTTTTTAAAACATGTAGGCTATTAGAAAACTGAACTAGAAAATAAGGTTTTGGATAAAAAGTTGAATATTAAAAGAGTGAAGTATTCAATAAGATTTTTTTAAAGTATAGACTAAATTTATGCAATATAATTTTTTACAACTATCATGAAATTGTTGGAACAAGATGCAAACGGGTGATTATTGTCTATTATATCATTTTTTCCTGAGGCATTTCACCAGAGTGCTTTGCTCTCAAGATGCAACTAGATAATCTCAACTATGAATTGCATATTTTCCTCAATCCAAAATCATCAAATACGGTTACAGAAATGCTACTGCCCGTCCTCAATGTTATGCTTTAAAGATGCAAACATATCATACTCCTTTTAAAAGCACGAGTTCAGGAAAAACTTTTCATGGTCAATATTACCATTCACTATTTTGAATATTTTATTTAAATCTTAATCTATTCTAATTTTAATCATATCTTATCTAATTCCACGTGAACTATCTATAGCTCAACACTTTAAAAAAAGTTATTTTGAATGTTTCATCTAAATCTTAATCTATCCAAATACTAATTATATCCTATATTAACTCCATATGAACTACTTATAGCTCAACAAATTAGAAAAAATAAGATTAAGAAAGTATACGTAGATAACAATATTATAAAACCCAAAAGTTTTAAAAATTGCATATATCATACTCCTTTTAAAAGCATGAGTTCAGGAAAAACTTTTCATGGTCAATATTACCCTTCACTATTTTGAATATTTTATTTAAATCTTAATCTATTCTAACTTTAATCATGTCTTATCTAATTCCACGTGATCTACTTATAGCTCAACAAATTAGAAAAAAAAAGATTAAGTATACGTAGATAACATTTTATAAAACTCAAAGTTTTAAAAATTGCATATAATAACCTTAAAAGTTTAAAATTACACAAAACACCTTGACTTTTTAAAACTTAAAAAAAAAATTGCATATAATAACCTTAAAAGTTTAAAATTACACAAAACACCTTGACTTTTTAAAACTTAAAAACAAACACGAAATCTAAAAATTTAAAATTTTTAATTAACACCCTCAACATTTTAAAAATTAAAGAAAAAACCTTAAAAGTTTAAATTAAAAAAACACCCTAAAATTCTGAGATTTCAAAACTTAAAAACAACATAGATGAATTCCAGGATTACCATTAGGCACTTTAATTTTAAAATTTATAAAAAAATAACATCAAAGTTATAAAATTACAAAAACTCCCTCAAAAGTAAAAAAATATATAAAAATCTTAAAATTTTAAACCTTATAACCGGTACACATCAAATTTAGAAATTATCAGTAAATCGCTAAAAATTTAAATTTTTTAAAAAACAACCCAAAATTTTAGTAATTGTAAAAATATTTTCAAATTTTTAAAGTTACAATAAACATTCTAACATTTAAAAACTTACCACCAATACATGAAACATGAAAATTATAAGCATTAAAATTACTATATAAATTTAAAATTTAAATTTACCATCAAATTTTTAAAGTTACAATAAACATTCTAACATTTAAAAACTTACCACCAATACTTCAAATTTAAAATTTTCATAAAATACTATCAAAGTTTAAAAATTACAAAACACACCTTCAAAAGTTTAAAATCACAAAAAGACTGAAATTTGACAAAGAAAAGAGGAAATATTTGATATTATTACATTAAGATACATAAATTTAACTTCCAATTTAAAATTTATCATCCTTTTTAGCATCTAAAAGCAGTCTAAGTTGATGTCAATAAAAAATAGTAATTACAGTAGATTAAAACTATCCAGTTAAGGAATAAGAATTTAAAAATATATGATAGATTAAAAATTAAAATTACTATATAAATTCATGGAACTGCATATAATTTTACTAATAACATTCATTGATAAAAGACAAATTAATAAAAGACTATAATATAATAGGTTAGCATTAATTGATTATAATGTATAAACATTTCTCTCTTATGTTGATAGTTTTTATAGGGTAAAAAAATATAATTGAGTTATGTATGGAGAAAATATCAGAAAGTTCAGAGAAATCCTTTAAAAGAACTAAGTTGTTTCATTTCAAATGAAGAAGTGAAGGGAATAAACTCAAAATTTGGAAACATTCATGAATCACCTGAATTGACATTGATAAAAGGCATATCTAGCAAAGAAGCACTGGCCGAATTCCCTTTGAAGAACATATTGAACAATTTTGTTCTACTTAAGAAAGCATTCTTCATTAAAGATACAAGAAAAATTAGTAAGTACTTAAAAATTTTTACACTTTATTCTTGAAATACTAAAGGAATCATAAACTTAATATAAGATTATATATAAATAATTTTACAATAGAAACTAAAGTGAAGTAGTTGATCAACTATATTGCGAGATATAATAAGCTAGATAAGATGAGGAAAGTCACTATAATGGATAAAAAGTATGCACATGTTACTTAGTTGCCATAGTGTAAGTAAAAAAAATTAAAATTGATATTTTTTCTGCATAGTAGCACGACTCTACAAGTAACCTTATTTGAGGATATGACTACCAATGAAGGATTAATTTTTAAAGACACAATCAAAGATAAGCATGTAATAGTACTATCAGATTTTAAGATCTTTAAATATGAAAGTAACATATTTTATAACTAAAATTCTTATTAAAGGTCACTAAACATAAAATTCATGTTATATCTATTTCAAATTTGTAGGAAAGATATGCATGTCATCATAAATTGTGTTAATAATATATATCAATTTAAAGATACAACTTATTGAAGAAATAATAGAATGATAAGTAAACCAAGCAAACATCCATATAACACGATAAAAAAAATATTACAATTTAAAGCTGATATGCAGGGCTCATTCAGAACAAGCTGCTAAAATAAAAGCATCTCCATCAAGGCGCTTTATAAATACAACATAAATTTAAATTATTGAATATTTTATAGAATAACTTAATTTTTTAAGTAAAGTCTAAAAATTTTAGAAGAGATTCTCATGAACTCTTTTTATATTTTTATATGGTTATATGAATGCTTTTATCATATAAAAGTGTACTAGAGTTATCATTAATATTTATTTTATGATTTTTTCTGAAGTCTATCAATGATTAATAACAAAATTTATATTATCTTTAGTTTCATTCTAGCCCACTTTTAATTAATCATCTTGGCTTATTGGTTTTAATTATTCATCCTTCTTTTATAATGCTATTTTTTCAAGTGTTTTTCACTTTTCCAATATAATACCTTCTCAAGTCAAGCTTGGTTCCATGTTGTAATACCCCAACCCTTGAGAGGGTGATGTGATTAGTATTGATAGATTTGATTGGAATACTCATACCATCAAGATGCATCTTCTTTTCGGGAACCCAACTCTTAGAAACTCCAAAGTTAAGCGTGCTTGGCCTGAAGAAATTCTAGGATGGGTGACCCCCTGGGAAGTTTTCCAGGGAGCACGTGAGTTAGGACAAAACGTGCTGAAAAGACATGTGGTGGTTTGTGAGGCCAGTCCATCAGATCTAATAGCGTACCGACTCCGGGACTCCGGGGCGGGGCGTTACACATGTCGATCCAAATAACGTGAAAATTCAAATTAGCTTTACATTACATTTATTTTTTATCAATTCAATTATTAACATGAAGATTTTAAATTTGGTATAGCTCATTCAAACAAATATTAAAGAAAATAAAAATAATCACAATACTAAAGTTTAAGGACATAAGTGAAAAAAAATAATTAAAGTAAAACTGAGGAACAAATTTTAGTAAATATATAAAAATCCTTAATCATAGTATTTAACCACATGCATTTGCACGTGCATAAAACCTAGTAACTTATAAAAAGGGTGGCCCAGTGCACGAGGCTCCCACCATTGTGGGCTCTAGAAAGGATCAGATGTATGCAGCCATACCCCCACATGCGAAGAGGTTGTTTCCAAGATTTGAACCCGTTCTAGGTCACAAGACAGCAACTTTACCAATGCACCAAGGCTCATCCTCAAACAGATAACTTATAAAATGTTGCATATTTTCCTCAATCCAAAATCTTCAAATATGGTTAAAAAACGTTGTCGCACTTCCTTAATGCTATGCTTTCAAGATGCAAAATATAATATCACTTATAAAGTGTTGCATATAACCCTCAATCCAAACTCATCAAATATGGTTAAGAAAATATTGTCGTGCATCATGCTATGCTTTCAAGATGCAAACAGATATATCATATAAAGTGTTGTCTATTTTCCTCAATCACAAAAATCATAAACTATGGTTATAAAATTCTATTTATGTCATCAATGACCCAAAGAAAACTCCCTAAGCTTTGTTACTACGCACTTAGCAAGAAAATATCTTTTAAACATTCATAGAGTACCAGGAGGCCAGCAGCAAAGAATATTCTCCTGACATCTTCATACACTGAAAATTTAAAACTTTTCTGGGTCACAAATATCTTAACAATTACTAACGCCTTACGAGAATAAAATTATGTCTGAATTACTTGAAAATTTTTCATATTCTGAAATTGATAATTAAACAACAATAACTAAATAAAAGCTCTCTAACTACAGATATTATTGCTTGAAGTCGTCTAAAACTAATAGTAACCCCCTATTAATCCTAATCCCTAAAGAAATCCAAGAACCCAATACTTACAGATGAAGATGAAAGAATTTCTTGTTAACCTTGATTAGGAGAGCTGCATTAAGCTAAAAAACTCTTGACCTTTAATGGGTTAACTCTAATAAATTCATCCACACCGTCTATACTGAAGAAGAAAAAACAAGAACCCAATACTTACAGAAGAATCATCCTCAATCCGCGCTCGAAGCTCCTCGTTCTCCTTAGCCAACTCATCGCAAGACTCCATAATCTTTTCAAAATCCCTCTCATAAAGCATGCACTCCTTCTCCAACTTCGAGCAATGACCCGAAAGATTCTCGTACTCCACCACCATCGCCTCCTTATCCTCAACGCACTTCCTCAGCCCCTGCGCATTCATGGCCGCCTCCGCCTAATCCACGGACCAGGAATAAAAAAAAATCGCAGCAAAACCCTAAACTTTACCGCAAAATGAATGAGATCAAGGATTTGTGCCGACCTTATACAGATCGACGCGCTTCTGGGATTCGTTGAGGCGGTCCTGCAAGAGAAAGATCTGATCTTGGAGGCGGTGGCGGTCGTCCTCGGAGGCAAGAAGCTTCAACTGGAGGGTTTTGGATGAGATGGGAAGCCCCAGAGAGTGCTGGATTGACTCTCGGATGTAATCGTCGGTTTCTTGGGGGAGGTCCATTGATTTCCGGAGAGGACTCCCTTAAGAACTGGGATCAAAACCCTAGAAATCGAAAACCCTGACCGTAAAAAAATAAAAAAAAATAAACTCTTTGGGGGTTCGAAGAGAGAGAAATGGGGGAGGAGGAGATGACGAGGGTTTTCGTATTTTGAAATCGTAAGGGGACGGTAGCCGTTGGAGATGCACTGTTATTTAAAAGTGGGAGTGGGGACCACATACGGGACTGGTGACGTGGAAGCCTTTCATTGGCTCCAGCTTCCCGTCTGTATTACGTTCGTTGGAGTTCTTTGGACCGTTGTGATGACTTCGTTGTGGGCCAGAGCCCAGCAATACAATCCACGACGGCAACAAGCACACGACGAAAACAAAAAATAATCCGGTAGTGGGCCCCCAAGCCCAAAAACATAAAACGCTGTCAAAGGCTCTTGCGTCAACATTTATCTTTAATTTACAATCTAACATAAAAATAATACAAACCTTACAGCTACCAGAATTACTAACAGTGATAAGATCGAATGATCTGAGACAGACCTTTCATTGAGGGAAGATAGAAAACCCAATCAAATCATGCAAAGTACCATTTCCACAATGGAAATCTACTAAGAAGCTAAGACATAAAATACTCTCACAAAAGGGTTGTTACAAACGGCAAAAATAGCGTACCCAATCCGCAAATGCGGTTCGTTCAAAACTACTCTTTCTTCACATTTTCACCAATTTAACAAATCAATTGTTGCTAAAGTGCACGCGTTGCAAGTTCCTTATGGCTTTTTTTTTTTCCCTT